CCAAGGCCCAGTCTGCACATAGAGAATTTGCTTCTTTCTCAGCCCCTTCCCCAATATTCAGTGGTTAAAAGTGAGATCAATTTCTCATTAACATGGCCATTTCTCTGCATTGTTGTTGTTACTTCAGAAATATTTGAGACTAGGCCAGGCTCAGATCTATGGCCTTATAATGAATTGTAATATAAACCTCTATGTTAATTCTAAACTAAATATGGTGAAAAAGAGGTCTTAAAACACTAATTAAAATGGCTTTTTTTACTCTATTTAGATAACAAAAATGATAACTGTAAACTCATAAATACCTGCCCAGAGACATGATGAGTAATAGCCTCAAAGCAAATATAAATGATATGCTGTGATCTGCCGTTTTAACTTTGTAACTTCTATTAAAACTACATTAAACAGTATCTTGTACTAGCATGGAAATGATATCTTTGAACATATAGCTTCATGAATGCTATATCAAAGTCATAATGAGGCTAAATAAGTTTTTTACCTCCATAATCCATATATTAGTTTTCCCTTTTTTGAAGTTTGTCTTTTAATTGCCAGCTGAGTTTTTGCTATATAACCTTAACAGAAGATGAGATCATTATTTAAAAATGATGAAGATTAGACACTACTACACTATCTAGAATTTGATGAGGAAGGCTTTATCCAAGATTTAGAGGTTGAAGATTATAATAGCCATCTCTGTAAGAAGATGCCGACTTCAAAAATACTTTAATCTAGTCAGTTCACATTGACAGCATCCAGCCTAGTGATTCCGACAATATGATGATACACAAATGTAGTTCTTCTCCTTGGCATCAATCCAAACATCACAAATGTTATGACAAGTTAATGCTTTACATGTCACAGTCCTAGAACTCATAAAGTTAAGGTAAACATTGAATTGTCAGTAAATCAATTTAGTTTCTTCAGATGAGCAATGAGGTGCACTGTGCAGACTCGGTGTACTGCTCTGCACTTCCTTAGTAGCACAACTGGCTTCATGAACAAATTACAGATCCAGTTCATCGCTAAAAGAGCTGTTCAGACACAGCACAAGTGCGCACAGCAATGGACAATAGATTTCACAGAGACACATACCTGTGCATTCTCCAACCACCAATATTAATGCCTGCTCTCACCCATGCAGTGCATGAATGACAGCTTTATATATTTAAGGGGAATTTAGGCTTTGATTCTGTCAGGAATATCAGTTTAAAAACTCAGGAAGTACAGAGTGTTGGACTAGATCCACAAGATGTAGATTTGTGTTTGCAGAGTCCTTCATTGTTTCTGCAAACACTAATGAAAATGAACAGGTCTTAGTTGGCCATGTGTTTTTTTCATGACATTTTAAAGGATATTGTAATGGATGACAAGCAGAAGGTTAGCAGGGCAGAATATGTACACAACATGGTGCCCCACATGCAAGTATAGCAATTATGATGTATGTTTGATAGAGATAGAAATATACTGCATAAAGCAAATCTGAGTTCATTGTTAACCACAGCAGAAGTGAAAGTGTTGTCCATTTTAAGCAGTCAGATTCCATGTAATAGTAGAAGGTAAGGCTTTGAGCAACAGCTCAATTTTTCTCTTCTTTTCATTAGTCATACCCATTATGTATGTACATATGTATCAAACTTTGCTGTGGGGAAGGACATCTTTGAGTTGTGGTGCCGGCTTCTAGAGCAGATCCCAATCTCATCTCATATATATCCCCATCTGAAATAATATGCTTCCATATAACTAGAATATACTCCAATGCACAACATGTGTGTGTATGTATATATGTCCAGTGCTGGGCACCACACAACTGTAAGCTGCCCAGGCGCACTCAAGGCAATAAATGAAGCAACATAGATAGATACATAGATACATTTATTGGTTGACATTTCAACTAGGCACTGCTTGTCTTTCACCTTTGAGGTTAATCTATACCTTGATAAATGCACCTAATTTTGATGAATGCAAACATATTAGAAGTGAAAATAAAAAATGGATTACCTATAATCCCAAGAAATAGCATGTCAGAAAGCGAATACTAGCTTCCAAATAACTGAATAAGTTGCCTTTGAGTTAGTCAAGGAATGATCTGGGGATACTCCAGCCAGTACAAATAAAGTGTGTTCAGCAAGTGTTCCTTGCAAAGGGAAGCCTTCCAGGAATGGCTCCAATTGCAGCTCTAAGATGTCATGCAACCAAATGCAGAAAGCTGGAAAGGAGGTCTTTATGAAGAATGCAAAACTGTTAAAAGTGGTGTGATCATTTGTTCAAAGAAGCAGAAATATATTTAGTTGCAATGGAGGCAATGTAGTATATGTAGTACATAACTAAAAGCCTTTAAATTCTGATAAGTGCTACATATCATCAACTTCCACCCATAAATACAATTTCTTTTTTAGGTGCAGTCAGCCTTTAAACATGAAAATATTTTTGAAGCTTAGATTTGTCATCTGTCAAGTTCTATGACGCTTCAGGCTATGTAGTGTCTGCAGTCACTTATGTGCTCTTTCACAGTGTTTAGACTAACCTCAGGTTTCCAGCTACTGCCGCATGGGGATGATATGCTTTATGCACATGATCTTACCCGGAAATGCTAGAGTTATGGCCTTTGGTTATTGTAGACTTCATGCTGACCTTGAAAATTAAACTGCTTAATGTGAGTTGAATATAAAATACTTCTGACTCAGCCACCATTAAATAGAAAACACCTGAAGATGTCTACAGGGGGGAGCCCATATTTTTTACAATCTGGTAATATTACAAATGAATTCTGTATGTCTGATGGATGCCTGATTGCAGGTATGTTTCGTGTTTCAGATTTAAAAGCCTGGAAGCATAATTCAAATACAGTAATGGAACTGTTGTGGGTGACAGGATTGTAGATATCCTTAAATTCTTGATTCACTCTGCCCTCTGGTGGAAATGTGGTATATTGCACTACTTTGAATTAAAACATATACTGGGAGGCATATGTAGGCTACAACTGCTGACCACCTTCTTTTAAAATGACACTAAACTCAGGCGTTAAATCTGAAAAATGCATTCAAGTATCTTAACCATTAATAAAAATGTATCTTATTTGTGTATCACTCGGCTGTACAACCTCAAATCATCACTGAATTGGTGCTGACACTGTCCTTCCTTCTGGAGGGTGGCTACTTTTGTTCCCCGTGGTCTCTGTGCGTGTTGTAAAGTAGCCACCGCTCCAAGCTCGCTCCCATGATGGACTACATTCACATGTATAGTTTATTAAATTGTATTTTGATTGTAGACCATCACGGGAGTGAGCTTGGAGCGGTGGCTACTTTACAACACACACAGGGACCACGGGGAACAAAAGAAGCCACCTCCAGAAGGAAGGACAGTGTCAGCACCAATTCAGAGATGATTTGAGGATCTACAGCTGAGTGATACACAAATAAGATACATTTTTGTTAATTGTAAGGTACTGTACTTAATGCATTTTTGAGATTTAACTCCTGAGTTTGGTGTCACCTTAATGCTAGTGTCCTTGCTAGTGTCATTCTCATCCAGTGGCTTTAATGCTTTTTGTTTATACTGACCGGATCAAGTATGCAGATCAGGTGATTTTACTGACTGCATGCCTATTCTGGATCAATGACTCTATGAATCTATGAAAATATTAAATTCATAGTACTGCTGGCATTAGGAGGACAGTAATGGCAGCTCATGTACTTTTTCAATAAAGTTTTTTTGTAAGCCATGAAAACATTTTGCAGCATGCAAGCTAATGCTGAGGTCAGATAGACACATTTAGCACCATGCCTAAAAATATAATGAACTACTAGTTGAATGACTTCATCATGCTCTGTGGCCCTGTGACATTAGATGTGGCTGTGGTTTTCCAGCCACATGATAAGACCACAGAGCTGTACCACACAGTAGTTCTCATAACCCTGAAATATTAACAATTGCATGTAGCATCTCTTCCGAATATATTCCTCCAGTACATTTATTTCAGTATGAGATGGCATTACATTGTAATAAAAATGTATCAGCTATTGTTATAATTTAAATACTATATCTCTAATTAGGCCGGAAGTTGCATAATTACTGCCAACTGTCAACTTAACTGCCTACGTGGCCAATTTAATGAGATCCTGACCCGCGCCACACAATCATTGTTTGGATCTAGTAAAATGAAAATTGTCTGGATTTACTATATTAGTTTCTTTATATAGCAAGTTGATATCTTCGTTTATTATGTTAATTAGAGTTTTTTTTGTTTTCCTTGGATGTAAGAGTAGACTTACATCTTCCAGTAAATAAAGAACCGTGATGATTGAACACAGCATATAATTGGTACACCAACTAATTAAGGGTTGGATAGAGTGACTCTACCATGCCACTAATTGTTACTACTATAGGTTGAGGTATAAGAGTAACATTGTACATTTAAAATACTATCATCTGTAAATTAATTTTAGATTTCTACAATGCAACAGCAGTGATGTACAGTAATTCCAATCAGAAACTTTAGGCTACGTTCACAGCTAGGCGATTTATTGCGCTTATTTAGCCACGCAATATCGCACAAAACAGAGATTTGCATTGAAGTCTATGTTAATACCTTTGCGATTTGTCACGCAGGAAAAATCGCCTTTCACGCAAAGAGGTATAGAAGCTATTTTCGGGTGGTTGTCACACGGTTTGGGTCCCATAGACAACGATGAATTGAAAACAGCGCAACAAACATGTTTTCAAAGCAAAATCGCACAAATAAAAATGCGCGGCAACCGCACGAAAACAGCTCACCAGCTCAATCGCCTAGGTGTGAATCTGGCCTTACTAGCTTACTTAGCTGATTTCTGATTGGCTGCTATGTGCTACCACACTCCATTTAATTTTGTTATTAAATAGTCTATTGCCCATATGTCTTCTTTTAACCCTTTTATTCTCCCCAAGACACTTAACATACACTAACTCAGTCTGCCTGGACTTATTCGTTCCCCTTCTCTTTCTTTTCTCATTTCCAACCATAGGGAGAGAGAGGCATGCCCGGGATGCCAGGGAAACATGGAGCAAAGGTATCTTTTGTACCAAAAATGTGGTTGCAACCCCATGAATCCCAGTGTACCTCTTAGCCGACCTTGTTCTGTCTCTTTGCATCCCCAGTTTCCCGATTATCTACATTACTCACACCTCCCAGCTGGGTCCTCAGATGTCATCCCCTAGTTATACTATTCACATGACCACTTTCCACTCCCTGTGTGGCTCAGTAACCCTAATTTTCATCTTGTGTCCTCTTTTTCTTTAGCCTTCCCCTGATTTCTGTTTCTGAGAGTTGAGAGGTATGACCCATCCCTGCTCTAACTTTACCTTCCTTCATATTCACCTTTGTAACCATACATCACTTGTACCACTATATCTGGCCTCAGCCCCTTTTCTTCACCCCTAACCATTCCTAGTAACTGTCCTCTATCTATGGGAAAATTGATGTTACTTGTTTTTGTACATGTACGGTTGATATGATTTACAAATGTGTGACGATGTGTCACTTCATGGGAGTCTGTAGGACAAAGCATATGACATGGTAGGAGTAAGCTAAATAAGAAGCTGTAGACCCACCTGTGATTATGGAATAATGAGAATGTTGCATTTATGGCAAGAGTTGTACTGTGTTTGCGATGAGAGTGACAAAACAACAATACTTTTGTGTAATGAAACTGAAATCAAAAACATATTGGGATAAAATAACAGCTAACTGTAGTGGAAATCAGTGCAAACCATCAGGACGTTTTGTCTAATTATCTGGTACTGGCAGGTAACGAAAGGGACATATGGTTTCAAACATTGCACTTTTCTTCAGTGCATCCTGCTGACATTTTGAGTCCAAAGCATAATTTTTTTATGCCACCTTTCTGATCTGTGCCTTCTAACGATTCCCATTTTGTATTATTTGCTGTAATTTGATGTCCTTATCTGTACACAACATAGCCACTGCAATCATCTTAACTTGATTGTACCTGTCAGCCATGGACAGTAAAGTAGCCTAAAGGAAACGCCACAATCTCTTTAAATTTTGTGGACAGTATTACAAAAGGACCAAAATTGCCTGAGACAATTTTAACATAAAACATGTACAGTATCTAAACGAAATGTGTGAGTATGTTGAAAGCCACATGTGTTTTTTATATGCGGGGGGTGAAATATGGTAGGATGTTGCCTAGATATCAGCTTTGAATTACTTGTGTTTCTTTGACCTACAAAAGTCTTGTGGCTCATTCTGTGGCTAGCACTATACCAACAATCCCCACTGAAGACACCACAAGGAACCAGAAATATGATACATAGATAAAAGCATTACTTGACTTCCGGTACATGATCAAACCTATGCAATGGTTTTAACAGCAATTAGTTTAGTCATTTCTCTAAGATTGCTTTATTTTTAGTTCATGTAGATTTAGATTGACCTAACAGCCCCTTGAACTCCACCTTCACTTTGTTTGCTTCAACTGACTGACACAAATGCACATGTTGTGAACCCTGCAGGTTATGTTGAGAAGTTTCACTTGTTGTAAGGTGATCTTGAAGCAGGCAGGGTTCAATCTGGATGGTTTGGTATTAAGTGCCAATCACATTAGCGTTTGAGAATGTCATTGCATTACATTTTCACTTTTTTGTAAATCTTGTCTTGCTGCAACAAATTAAATAAGCATATATGTTAAATATGGTCTGCAGTTACTAATGAAATGAAGTAGGAAATAATGTGCAAAAAATGCTTATATTTCATGTATCTGTATACTGTGTAAACAATCAAAGAAAAAAACTGAAATGAAAATATCAAACATGTGCATTTTCAGCAGGAGATATTCAGCATTTAGACCTTAAAGGAGAACTATGAGGTGAGTGCTTTTCACTCACCTCATAGTTCTAGCCAACCTGTGACAATGAGACTGTCACAGGTTGGCTCAGTAGATCGGGAGGTGAGCGAACACATACCGGGTTCGCTCACCTCTCGATCCTGTCACGGCTCTCTCCGGTAGGGGCTGGATTACCCTCTCCCCGCTCCGATCTGCCAGCGCTGACTGGCGGAACGGACGGGGGAGGGGGGGGGTAGATAGGCAGAGCCAGCTGTCACTCACGCAGCTGGGCGGATCCCGTCGTCTAAGTCGGGATCTGCTCCGGCTGCGGCGTCTCAGTATACCGCGAGCTGTAGCTCGCGGTATACTGAGCTTAAGGTAACGGGAGGACGCTAGTGTGTGTCCTCCCATTACCCTAAGGAGAACTATGGAGAAAAACACTGACCCCATAGTTCTCCTTTAAAGTGGCACTGAAGTCAGGAGACAAAACCTTAAAAATGCATTGATACTTTTACTAATAACAACAATAAAGCATATCTGTGTATCACTCTGTAGATCAGCAAATCATCTCTGGATTGGTGCTAACACTGTCTTCTGGAGGGTAACTAGTTTTGTTCCCCATGGTCCCTGTGTGTGTTGTAAAGTAGTCATCACTCCAAGCTCCCTTCCGTGATGGACTACAATCTCAATACAAATCAGTAAAATAATCATAAAATTGTAGTTCATCATAGGAGCGAGCTTGGAGTGGTGACTTATTTACAACACACACAGGGACCATGGGGAACAAATATAGCCACCCTCCAGAAGGAAGGACCGTGTCAGCATGAATTCAGAGATGATTTGAGGATCTCAGTGATACACAAATAAGATACATTTGTATTAATGGTTAAGGTACTTGATGCATTTTTAAGATTCAACTCCTGTGTTTACTGTCATGTAAGTGCTGTATTGGGAATTCATTTGTTAGAGATTAGTGGTTATTAGGTATGAACATTTAACTTAATAAAAAATATGAATACACTATAAATCAACACTAAATTACCATTCATTTCTATAGTGGGTGGAGAAGACACCCTGGTTGGCCTAGCTACAGACAAGTTGTTTATGGCCTTAGTTTATTAGGGAACTGGAATTATCTCCCTGCCAGAGCCTCGGGGAAAGGTGTTCTGTAATTCAATATGCCAGTGGTATCCAAAACTAATATTTACGTCTTTGCAGTATGTTTAACGCTCACACGTTAACAAGCATTATGTTACACGTTGCATTTAAATGGGCTGCTTAATGCACCAAAATGCACCAAAAAGGTGCGTATGGCATTTTTAGCAGCACTTACAACACACATCTATTAACATGGTGCTTTAGGGTGCCATTCATTCTAAACGTTAGCACAGTACACCAATGCACATAACGTAACTAAATTAAGAAATTTTAATCCCAGGGAAAAACACTGCTTCATTGAACAACATTTTCTTATTCATAGTAGCAATAGTAGACCATGCCTGTGCAATGTGTTTTGGCCTGACTGCATGAAGTCTCCACATGTAACAGGGTGACCCCATGCTATTGCTGTAATGTTGATAAGTTCAACATAGGGATGGACACCATGGTTCTTGAAACTCAGGAGATGATATAAATGCCTTGAATGAAGTCTTCTTAAATTAATTTTTTCAAATTTATAATAAATTCTCCTTTTACCCAGTTGGTCACTGGCCCAGTAAAATATTATTATGATGTGCTCTAAATTCCTATTAGAAAACACTTTTTATTTCTACACTTGTTAATCAATTATATTTATGTTTTTTTACCAAAAACTATTTTTTATAGTTGATCACATGACTGTATTGAATATTGAGTAAAATGATTATATGGGAGGAAGTATTCAGTGTAAGGCTGCTAGATGGTGGTACCAGGGAGAAGAAAGTGAGCCACAATAACAGACGGACTTGGAATATACTTCCCTTGGAATATATTTATTCTAAGGTTTTGGCAGGTTCTTAAAAGGGAAGGTGAACACCAGGCAGATATAAAAGACAAATTAATGCAGCTATGTAATCATTACATGTCATTAAATGTATTTTTGCAAATGCAAGAAGTGTAAGTACCTGAACTGACTTATCATCAGCCTCTTGCAGTCTACTATACAGCAAAGCTTAGAGAGGGGGAAGCACAGGGTTCAGGTGTGCTGCGGTGCAAGGAACAGGCTAGAGAGAGCAAAGAGGCTCATCTCTCTGTCAATCAGTACTGCTTCTCCTTTCACTGTCCAGTCACAAGAAAATCAGCTCTCCTGTCCTGCATGGTTGTGCTGTGTGGCAGAACAGTGTAAATCTTAGAACTGAATGGACATAAATACAAATACTTGGCAGGTAAAGTAGCTCTCTTACATGTATTTCATCTGTGATTTTAGCTGTTTGCCAGGAGTTCAGCATTAAAAGCTATATAAATTAAAAATGGACATGCCGCTCTCAATTATTTTGTGCCATTATCTCCCACGGTGTTGTACAATGTAGTAGATATAACAATAGAAAGCCGTAAAAACACTTTAATATATAACATTTCCCAAAGTATAGTTCATACAGTTGATTAACAAAATAGCGATAACAAAAAATAATAGGAAGACAGCCCTGTGCACTGGATCTTACAGTTTTGTTAACTATCTGATAGTTGCTTTTAACAACAACTACACTTTTCTATTCTTTTTATTAGAATACCTCTATTATTGTTGGTGCATATACTTGGCCTTACTTGTCAAAACTGAAGTAAGAAAAGTTGGAAATGTGTACATGCTAGAAAATGAAAAGGGGCATCAAGAGGGACAATTTCCCATTCCTCATATATTATTATCACTGTGGATTGAACCTGTGTTCATGAGAATATACTTTATCTGTTCATAAAAAAAACAGCACTACTATTGTTTTCTTGCTGATGGCTAGTGAAATAGTATGGTGATTTTTGGTTCACACTGCAGACATGTTTTTTTTGTATGTTATATTTAGTAAAATAGCTAAAATTATTATACATTATAACATTTTAATCAAATAATTGATTCTTATTTTATGCATTCCTTTAGGGTGATCCAGGAGTCTCAGGAACAAAGGTACATATTGTTTATATATTTAATAAAATAAGACTTAAGATGACTGGAAATAATGTACCTTCCACACAGCAATTTGCACTCTATTATTTAGAAGAATGTGTTTTAAGAATGTAGAGGGTCTATAGCAGTAGTTAGCAACCTTTTCTACATTAACTCTCAATTTACAAGCATTATACAACCAGTGTGCACATGAACAATAGCGTGCTGTAGCCCTACATTGTTTATTTTCAATTTTTGCACTCGTAGTTGTACTGCTAATTGCAAGTTAAACTCATTAAAGTCCAAATAAAGCCAAAAGTTTTTAAGTTTTGGATTGAGTGGAGGGGGATTAGAACAGCTGTCAGGTTTGTATTGTATCTCTGTATTCGTCCTGGTGACCGTTATCACTAAAAGTGAAAGTAAATGAATATCACAAATTTTGGGTTGTTATCAGAACACGAATAGATGGGAAATCTTCCAAAAGGGACACAAGCTTTGGTGACTCTGCTAACCACCTGGGATTTTCCCTTCTTTGGAGGGACTTCCTCTCTCTTCCTGTCATGGTTATCAGACCCGAAGTGAAGGGAAATATCCCCAATTGGACACAGATGGCAAAACAAAGCTGACTGGGGTTATAATGAATATAATGCCCAAATGATGCTTGCAGTCACTGCCACTGAGAATATTTTTTTGCTCACTTGCCATAGGTTGTTGACCCCTAGTCTATAGTTAACATAAAATTAAAGGGGTTATGCACAAAGCTGCCGATGGCAGCCGAGTGAATAACCCAGCCGAAGTGAAGTGAAGATGCCGGTAAAAGAAAAACAATTGGGCAGAGCTAGCAGTGACAGCTAGCTCCGCCCAACTGTTTCCTATTGGCAGGCACCTGCCCGAGTCTTCTAGCAGGTCCTGGCCAATTAATAACAACTTGGCAGAGTCGGCCATGACATCACGGATGGCTCCGCCAAGTTGTTATTGTTTAATGACAGATCAGCGTCCCAAGCCCAGATAGCAAGGATAACGTGAAAATTTTAATTTGTGTTAACTTGCTGCACACAATCCTGGCAAGTTGTAGACTTGCAGAACACTTGCAGCACAAGTTCTGGTTGACACTTTTTGAATTTGTAGCAAATTTGCTTGGCAAGTCCTGCAGGCCTTAGCAAGAGTCCTGCAGGTCTTAGCAAGAGCTCTGCAAGCTCGCTGGTCTGGAGACTTGCAATGCAGACTTGCTGTAATTGTGCAACAAAATTGTGAAGCTTGGCAAGTCTGCAATAGTTTAGCAAGTCATTTTCAAACTTGCAGCTCAATTGCTTGCTATCTGGGAGGTCATTTGGGGATACTGATCTGTCATTACAACTGGGCAGAGCGAGCTGTGAGATCATAGCTGGCTCCGTCCAGCAGTCAATTGCATGGAGAATGGCCGGCCCTTCGGCAGGCCATTCTTCCTGCTTCAGCTGTCGCTTCAGCTCAGTCGAGCCGAAGCATATGCCTTCGGATCGGCTGAGCTGCTCAGCTGCCTTCGGCTGCTGTACAGGCTATAGCCGAAGCTAGCCGAAGGATCAGCCAAAGCTACGGGTGGATCCTTCAGTTCTTTAGTGAATAATCCCCTAAATTTAAAGACTTACTATTGTTATATTTAATGATATCTGGCATGAGAATGTAAAGTCTTGCTGTGTGCAGGTGGACAATGGATGACCACTAAGATATTTTTAGAATAGGATTATGTAGTTTGCTCTGTGTGAGAAATCTCTTTGTTCCTAGATTTGAAGGATTACTTTTCATAGGTAAAATAAAGACTTGAAAATGCCTTTGCAAAATACGAGAACTGATATAGGCTCTTAGAAGCTCATTGAAAGTTAATTCTTTATAATACACACTGATATAATAATGATACAGATGGCCATTGCTGAGCTAAAAAGTTTAATATTGACTGTTCCAACTGCTAATATTTACAGTTGCAAAGCAGCCCGAGAGCTAGAAAGAAGTGTCAAATATATTTTTCTTTGAAATAACACTAATAACAAAATATTATATGTCATCCATGACCGTTTTATATGTACTTTGGGTTAGAGAAATGTCTACAATCATTTTGCAGCTAAACCAACTTAGCTAACATATACCCAAGTAAAAGTTCAGAAGTGTGGAGTAGGAATGAGCGAATCTACCCAGGTTTGATTTGCAAGGGAATTTGTAAAATACTCTTTGAAATTTTTCAAACCTAAACTTAGCAATGAATCCTATTGAAGTCTTTGTGGGGCGCATCTTGGTACTAAATTCTGCCCATTTTCAAGGCTATTATAGGCATAAGCTATTTTCAAAAAGTGTCATAGGGAGTTGGGCGCTGGTGTGGGGACATTTAAAAAAGAAAAAACATTTTTTTAAAAATCTAGTAAAGTTGGCAGGGGTTTACAGCAGTAGCACCCTAATCTGATTAATTTCAATAAAAAACAAACAGGTAATTGACTGGTGGAAGTAGCAGCCACAACAGGTTTAAAAGCTATAGGAATGTTTACTCTTAAAGATAAAGCCCTCAACTTTGTACAAATTGGCCAGTGATGCAACAGTTGAGCTTCTTTTTTTTGCAGTACCACACTGCATTGTCTATTATGGCTGTATCAGGTGCATGGAACTGAGATCTAGACATTGAAATCCTCAAGAGATTTTAAAAAAAAAAACAATGGGATCCAGCATGTTGTTGTGTTTCTTATGACTTTGTACTTCTTAGGTTTTTGTTAGGATTTTTTCCACACACACTGACCAGTTATTGTCTACTGTGTCTAATCAATGCAATGTCTAATGCCTTATGAGCACTCCTATGTAGAAGTATGTATCCAAATACTTGAAAACTATGACATGCCTGTTTTCTGTTTACATACAGGGTGAAAAGGGTGACACTGGCAATGCACTTGGTGGAGTTAAAGGAGAACCTGGTACTCCAGGCCCATCAGGACCTCCAGGACCAAAGGTCTGTATGTTGCTACCTAAATTATACCAAACATGAAAAATATGTGGAATGATTAAAGTCCCAGGATGGCTTGTATACCCTGTATGTTGTAGAACTGGAGGGACTACATGTCATAACATGCCTTGTATATACTATGACATATACTAATTGCCAGAAGTCTACAAATCAGCAGCCTTTTGACACACCAAATCTTATTAAACTCATTCAAGGGACCAGCACACTTCTACAATTTATAGCTAAAAGCTATGCAAGATTTTTGCAGTGCAGAGGCCGTGACCAAATGTGATCCTTGTGATAAAGGTGGCTGTGGCCGTCATTTCATAATTTGATATACCATTCATATTTTACTTTAGATCACAAAGGAAGCGATTCAACAGACCTGATTAAAATTCAGTCTGTAGTGTTAAACCGATAAAAGGCCTTTGATATCAGTTCGGATGATCTTGCTAAAGTTAATACAAAGCGCAAGGACATCGTGAGACATTTATGAAAGGTTTAAAAATGTTGCCATTTCTTTGAAACCCGAAATATGACAAACTGAGCTTTTGTAAAGCAAAAAGGCAACTCCTTTTTTTATCATCATTATTTAGTTTATAACGGCAAAAATGAGAAAAGGTCAAAGAACAAAAGCAGTTAAAAGTACATATACCTTTTTATCGAGACTCTGCTATACTGTATATTTTAACAACGTTTGTAATTCTGTGCCTAGAAAAAAATGTTGTACTGTTTGCTTTTGCTGTACATCTTGGTGTGAATATCCATAACATAAAACCTAGCCTAAAACTAAGTTAATAAATAAAAGTTCTAATTAATATTCAGAAGTATACATTGCTTTAGCAGTTTGTAACTTGTAACCATGATGCAAGCATTACATGTAAAGCACCTGTCTACAAGCACACGATAGAAAATTAGCCAACATTATTGAAATGTGACTGGAACCATATTTTCTATTCCTGTCACCTTGTTTGTATGTAATGTGCATCACTTACCCAATTCCTATTTGTTTTCTCCATAGGGAGAAACTGGTGCTGTTGGCCAACCTGGAACTCAGGGTCAACAGGGTGATAAGGTAAATCATTATGATGTCCAGTAGACTCATTGGGGGGGGATTTATCAAAACTGGAGCAGACAGAATCTGGGTTCCAATCAGCTTCTCTTTTCAGTTTGCTCAGGTAAGATTTGAAAATGAGACAGAGAAGCTGATTGGTTGCAGTGCAAATCTGCTCCAGATTTTGTCTGCTCCAGTTTTGATAAATCCCCTCCCCCCATGGTTTAAAATATTCCTAAAAACCCACCACTCATTACAACTACAAGCCATGTATTTTGGTGCATACCAACAAATGTCCTGTGACACCCTAGCCTAGACTGATCTTGGTTATATTGTACAACAATGAATGTTTTTTGTGTCCATGTATGTTATTTGTTCTTTTGAATTTTTTTTCCAAAATAGATTTTTATTTTTATTTTGTATATCACGGTTAACAAAAACAAGCACTCACCGTGCCACAACAGAGCAATACAAGCATGAGCAATCATACTTAATTTTGTAAACAGAGGGAGTCAGAAGCATCTGTATCATAAGCAACGTCATAATAGCAATTCGTGTTGTATCAGACAAGTGTAGCTCATGAGAGAAAGATCCGGGGAGGAGTAGAGATAGAGAGAAAGTGAAAGAGTATACATAGAAGGAGATAGGGGAAGAATAGAAGAAGGCACATAGAGGAGATAGAGCCAATATGGGGTGGTACAGGGAGGGCTCACATCACCTCATCTCTGGGGTTGCCACCACTTCCACTTTTTGCGAAATGCGGGCAAAGTACCACTTTTAATTGCGTGTAACCTCTCTAGCTCATAGTGCAGACTCAAAGTCTGTCTGGTTTCCTGCATTGATACACTTTCCAGGCTTCTCCAATGTCTCACTATGGTGAGCTGAGCTGCCAGCAATACGTGAACCACCAGAGCCCGGAAAGGAACCTGGAGACAGTCAATTCCTATAAGTAGAAGTCCCAGCGCTGGGTTGGGTGCAATGAAGCAACCAGTAATCGCCGAGATCCAGCGAAAAATGCCCCTCCAGTAGCTCGTCAGAGATCTGCAACTCCATAGCATATGGAGAAGGGTACCAACCTGCCCGCACTCCCGCCAGCACAACGCCGAGTTGGCTGGAGCAAATTTTGCTAGGCGGTACGGAGTGAGGTCGGAAATCCCCAGCGGTATAGAATCTTGTTATCTCTTAGGGCCTTTGTGACCGGCACCAATTTTCTTCTAAGTTGGAGAGTGAATTGGGAGAGGTCAGGAAAGACTTGGATCTTTGTGTATGCGTCGGGGAGGTCGGCATGGTGTCTCAGCGCCTTTAGCAGCCTTTCCCGCACATGGAAGAAATGGATACGGAGCAAGGTATCTCTGGGCACCCCCTCTGGCAGGTGCGGCGGTTTGGGTAGACGGTGGATTCTGTCGATAGTTAGGTCAGGTGTGGAGACATCTGGCAGGATCATCTTAATGAACTCTTGCACATATGAGGATAGGTCATCAGGGCGGACAGATTCAGGAATGCCTCTGATTTTTATGTTGTTGCGGCGTGACCTGTCTTCTAGGTCCGCCACTTTGGTTTGCAGCCATGTGATGTCGTCCTCCCTGTCATTATGGGCATCCACCAGTTCATTAAAAGTGTCAGCGAAGTCTCCCATCTTTTCTTCAATATGGGTGACCCTCTCCCCCACCTCCTGAAGGTCAGATGAAAACTGGTGGACAAGAGCTTGCATATCCGAGTTAAGCGAGCTTCTAAGAGACACCAGCATGTCCTTGAGGGTAGTATCAGAGAGGGGCCGGTCAGCTGTGGGGTAGTTTTCAATGGGAGCAAATAGTTCCCTTGTGTCGTCCAGCGTGGTTGATGGGCTTACCTCCTCCACTAGGCCTGAAAGCCGGGGCCTCGATTTTGCAGGGCTCCGCACGGCTTGAGATGCAGGTGGCCTCTGCGTCTCCTTAGATGGGCGCCGCGGGGTGTTCTCCTTCCCACCCCTCATCGAAGATTGTGAGGACCGCTCCGACCTCTCAGAGCCCTGAGAGGGAGATGTGGGGGAAGGCATCGCTGGAAAAGCCGTATCGCCGCCATGTTGCTCGGCCCGCGGCTGGGGCCGCCGGAAGAAATCCGTAACCTTGCGGGGTTTGGAGCCACTCTTGCGTTTGCGGGTCATACCGGAGGTGAGACTGGGTTCTGTTAGTGGCTTTGGGAACCGGTATGTCTCCCGCTCGTCGCTTTAACTGTCAGCCCAGGCCTGTAGGTGCACGGAGCTTCGGGTTTAAGCCGCCATCTCGTACGCCAGTCGGCCACGCCCCCGTTCTTTTGAATTTTTAATACACAATAACAATTATTGAAAACAAAAACGCACCACTCATTTTATTTTTGTTAGATGTTGTTCAGGTTCTTTATTAGGGACTGATATTATTATTCTTGTACATTGATTTTAAGATTTGACTTCTTATCAGACACTTGTGTGGCCAGATGTTCCTCTGATCCATACACAATTGCCCTTACACCATTGTCATGGAATATCAAATATATACCCAATGGATGTCCCAGCAGAAGTTTGAGAAGACATAATGGGACAAAAGATGAGCATATACAGTACTCCCTGCAGTGACAGACCTGACCATTATCCCCACTTTTCTCCCCTTAAATGTATGATTGTTTTTAGTATTAGCTAAAGCTGGTAATAGACATTATGGGGTTGATTTAATACAAGCAAATAGACAGTTCTCTTTGCAAGGATAATTTCCCTTACCTAAGTGAATGTGGTGAAAAAATTTTTAATTACTCAGTTACATGCAAGGAAAAAAAAACAGTAATTTGCTTGCATAATTAGATGACGGAACTCAACAGAGCTTCACCTCTTCACTAGGCTAAGAGAAAATACCCTTACAAACAGCCTATTTGTCTTTAGTAAATCAACCCCTATATGTTTAAAATATCAGCATAGACTTGCATATGCACATACTTCTCTAGCTGCCTAGATGACATTAACAGCTATTGTCAGGAGAGTCTATTCAGTAGAACCCCACCCCAACCCCCTCTTATCAAAGCTTTTAGATGGGGATGTGTGCTAAGGTGTGATAGTTCCTATCCTATGTTTGACACGATTGCCTATCTATCATGTAACATCTATAACCACCTGGTGTGTATCTGTATTGTGTGTGCATCATTACCAACATGTTAATTTGTGGTGATGTTTGTGTGAGTTAAAAGGTCAGCGATTTATATATCCAACAAAATAGTTCCCTCAAATGTAAGTAGAATTTTTTTTAGACTTTTTAGCAGCATCCAACGTTCTTGACTTTTACAGGGTTCTGCGGGAGCTAAAGCAGATCAAGGCCCTCCTGGACCAAGAGTGAGTTGAATTTGTTAATTCTTTTTGATAGTTTTTTCCAGACATAAATATGCTTATGCTAATCAGCACTAGAATACAGATGCGGTTCATTTGCTGATCCCCTTCTCTTGTGTCTGCTTTAATAGATTAGGCTAGATATATTCACAGTTTGACAGATAATTACTGTGCTATATAGATGAATAAATATGAATATACTAGCCATATACAGTAGGTGTGTACACACATGCTTGCAATGTGTCATTATTTAAATGTTTCAAGTGACTGAAAATAAGTTGTACTCTTAACAAAAAAATAATCCATGTTATCACTTTAAAAAATGCTATTAATAAAAAAAAAAGAACAAATAAATGATTTCTTTTGATGTACCCTTGCAGTGTAATATAAAATGTCTATCCTGAAAATCAATACTAAAAGAAAAACCCTTACGTTTGAAATGTCTATATTCATTTTTATCTTACATATTTTTTAAGTACTTTTTTTGAACTGTGTGGCCTTTACATTTAACCTTTAAAGCTAAAACTATTTATTTTAGCTTTGGATAGAGTAGGAAATGGTTAGAACCCTTTTTTGCCTGTTGGGGAGATTTCTCTTCACTTCCCATCACAGAGAGGCAACAGGAAGTAAGAGGAGATCTCTCCAAAGTGAGGGGAACTCGCTTCTTAGAATGTTGTTACTAGAAAATGTGTCTCTGTAGGATTAATTCCCTTTGTTTCTGTTCTGATAACAACTGTAAAATTTTGGATTACCCATCAATTCCTTTCCCAGTGACAATGGCTAGCAATGCAAATTGGGAGGGGAAAAGTAGTGACACAAACAGCAGTAAAAACCTGACCTAACCTTTCCCTGGTTTATACAAAAGTTAATCCATTTGTCTAAAGCTTTAGCTTTAGACAAATGTTAAGCCGTAAATATCCTAAAGTGAATCTCTCAGGATAGAAATAAGGGACTTGTAACTGCTGACTTTTTTCACTATTAAGTGTCTGACCTAGAGCAAGTATGCAACCTGTAAAGTGTTGGAGCATCTGATATGTACGTACTGGCTCCTTACTAAAGCAGTAGAGGATGACAGCTTCACCACAGGTATCATCAAAAGCGATTCACGAATGGCTAAGCCCATATTTCTATCCGGACAGATTACTTCTGAGATAATGATCTACCCAAAAAAAGTTCTAATTCCAAAATTCAGGGACAATTACAAAAATAATCCTGACTGCCCTGTGTGTTATTAAAGTTGACAATGTACTGTGCAAACAGATATTTATTTTTATATGTTCTGTCTTAACTGGAAATTCCGGTCAGTTTATCAACTCAACAGTTACAGTTATATGTTTCCTTTTAGGGTCCTAAAGGGGAGCCAGGAAAATTCAACATTGTGGAATATAATAGCAATCTGAGCGAGGCATTACAGGTAATAAAAGAAAGCTGGGTTTACTTATACTTTTTATATTATAATACATTTGGAGACAATTCAATGACAGGCAAGCTGAACACTGGCAATTACTAAGCACTGTATGTGTTTGTTTTGTGGGGGGTTTTACATATATATTGTGTTTTCAACAAACATAACTATAGATGTCCTCAACATCATCGAAGAGAGAGTCATTCTGTGAGCTGGAGTAATAGTTCAGGAAGGAAACCCATAGGTTGTCTAGAACCTGGTGATATCACTGTGACACCTAAGCACAATATGCATCCTGCAACAGTGAAAATCGCTGTTGAATTGAATGGTTTAATGATTCACATTGAAGCAAAATTGTGTGGGTGCCAGTGATAAGGATGACTGGCACAGGTAGATGCTGTACTTGGTTCTTCCATTGAGAAAAGTTCTAGCATATTTAGGGATGTTTAAGGATTACTGTATTTCTGTTCATGATACAGTGGTACCTCGGTTCACGAACTTAATTAGTTCTGCGATTCTGGTCGCGAACCAATTTGGTCGTAAACCAAATCAAACTGTGATCAGACCGCGATCTCGACTAACAGGGAAAATGGCTGTGATTGTGTTCGTCATCCGAAGCGGAGTTCGGTAACTCAATTGTTCGCGAACAGAAGCATTTGTGAACCGAGGTACCACTGTATTTGCCTGTTAGTATGGCAGCATTAGCAGGCAAGTATGTAGAAGAAGGACTTGCATACACAGCCTTATTGTTGTCATCTCCTTTTCTATCTATATAAGTCAATGGGAATGCAAAGGCAGCTTAAAGCTACTTGAAGGAACTTAGAAGTAGGTCAGAAGCAGGACAGAAGTAGATTGGTATCTCATAAGGAAGGATTTCACACACATATTCAAATTATCTCAAAATCAAGCCAAAAGCCCATTCTAATCAAGCCTGAAAGCAGGGCATGTTACATTTTTTAGAATTACCTATTGCAGTGCAAGTGGCCTGTGTAATTGAATCGAAGTTGGAGGTTAGGTAGACCTTCACATGTTAGAGTTGTTGGTGAACCTACTTTATATGGCCAGCTTTAGGCTTGACAAGCTTAGCTGCAATCCATCATCTTAGAACATCGCTTTCCTCTGTATACTACCCATATAAAAGGGAATTGGAACCGAAATAGTATGGGAGATGGAGCCTAATTTAATGGTGGAGGTGGCACCTAATTTAAAAATGGGTTAGGACTTGATATAATTCTTCTTAAGCAATCATAATAAAAATAACAATGACATTGCATGACTTCCCATCTACCTAAATGTGGGAAAACCAATTGTGAATGGATTTAGCACATTCAGATGGATGTCTCACTGTTAATAATAGAGCATTGGAATTAAAAGCAATGGGTATTACACAATATTTTACAACATGGGAATAACGTAGCTGGCAGTGAGCAGTATTAGGATTCTATAACACTGTGAAGCACAACAGTAAAGACTGGTAATCCAGGTTTTAATGCATTTATTTATCCTTATTGCTATTTATTGACCGACAACATGAGTCTTGGAAAGGCATAGCAGGCACTGATGTGAGCAGCGAGAGCATATGTACATTTATCATCCACGCCATGGTTCAGCCAGTGGATGCACAGGAATCTCAGATTGCTTGAAATGCAATTAGAAGAAGGTTTGCCTTCCCTGTTGCCTGCAATGGAAATTCTATCCGCCTTCTTGGCTTTAATATCTTACTGTCGGACATCTCTCTCCCACATGCTTTTCCAAACAGAGCCACACACAGACTCAATAACAATCTAATTTAGGAGATATTGATCAGCTGGCTGCTCTGAATGCATGGAAACGTATAGGCTGACAGCAGATAACAGCCTTTTGGCCCACACACTGTGTCCATTTCTTGTCGGCTATAAAACCTCAGATCTGTTAATGCTTTTACAAAATGCTCAGAGCAAATGTTAACTCCAAATCCCATAGGTCGGTATAACACAGGTGATTCGGATACAGTTTATTATTGCTGCAGATTTTGTTCTGGAGACTATTTAACTACTTACCGGATAACCATTTGCCACACTGGTTGCTTTAATATAATCCAGAATGTGCTCTGTGATATGGCAATAGGACTCATTTAAAATGCACATCTAGTACATACTAAACATCCTGTGGCTTTGCCTTGTCTATAGATTGCTAAAAGGCAGAGAGATAGCACTGTTAAAAATACATCTTGTTAAACAACTTATTTCAGACTAATTTGTTTTCTGTGCTAGTGATCAGAGCTGACGGCTCAATGCTAGCCTGAACTGATTCCATGGTGCATATTATCCCCTGCAGGAAAATGGCAGAAGCTTGTATTTCTCCAGATGAGCCTCTATGTCTGCAAAATGTGGCACTATTATGAGCAATATGCTATGTATCTTTGTATCATTCTGGTAATTACGGGGTTGTTTGCACTTGGTGACAGTAATTATCTTTTTTGAATTCAAAGCCGATTTAGGTGAACTGAGCTTTTTAGTGAGTTCTGTTTTTGCAATGTCAGCTATTTCAAAATACCTGTCATTGTGTCATATCAGATAAGTCTGCAAAGCTAATCCTTCACCAGAATGAAACTAAAGACCATGAGTTATGGGGGTTGACTTACTAAATGCAAATAGGCTTCTCACTAAATTAGGGAATTTCCTCTTAATGAATTTGGTGAAGCTCTGATTACTTCCATCATCCTATCACGTGCAAGCAAAAATGCTGTTTTATTTATTTTGCTTGCACGTGATTGGGTATTCTTTGCAAAGTGAACAGCCTATTTCCCTTAAGTACAGAGATGGTTTGCTCGTTGAATCCTCATTCACCTAACTAGTCATTTTTATAGGTTTAATTATAAATTATATTACAGCTCTTTAATTCTTGTAAATAAGTGGATCAATGTTAGATGTCCATTACATGCAAATCCTCTGGGAGGTCCTGGCTAGGACACTGCAATATGAGTAATATAAACATTTTCTATAATAACATTTAAAGGAGAACTATGAGGTGAGTGCTTTTCACTCACCTCATAGTTCTAGCCGACCTGTGACAATGAGACTGTCACAGGTCTGCTCAGTAGATCGGGAGGTGAGCGAACATATAGCGGCGTTCGCTCACCTCTCGATCCTGTCACGGCTCTCTGCCTAGGGTGACGGGAGGACGCTAGTTTATGTCCTCCCGTTACCCTAAGGAGAACTATGGGGAAAAGACGTAACCCCATAATTCTCCTTTAACAAATATAAAAAAACACAAAGACTGTGTTTTACAGTGGACCTTTACCCCCTTTGGCTAAAAATCATATCTGCATGCAACTCTGATGTGAATGCAATTCTGATATGAAATCATCTTACATTCATTAGCTAAACAAACATATTTTTATTTTACTTACAATTTCTTTTTTTCCACTTCCTGGTCCAGTTCAGCACAAATGATGTAATCATGCCCAAGCACTGCAATCTGGGGAAGTTACATCAGCAGAGCATTGCTGTGAAATCTCATCCGTCATCTTACGAGACCTCAGGGAAAGGCATTTACTTCCCCTGAGATGATGTGCAAGCTCACATGTCCTAGTCACATATGCCAGAGTTCCAGGAAGTAAAAGGAGATCTTATAACCTGCCCTTAGTTAAAATGGCCACTCTGAGATCAGTGCCCACGTGGTGCTCCGTTCTTGTGTCTAGTGCATTCCACTGGGAGTCCCCAGTTAGTGTCAGAAGACAATGGTCAGAAGACTGGGGAAGAAAGAAAAACATGCTATGTAAAAAATAAAAAGCCTGCATTTATCTCTAAGTATGTGTTACCTGTGTTATGTAGACCTTTATGGAATCGCCACACAAATATATTGGGGTACTTCTGTGAAAATGGGGGAAATTTATAGTTTTGTCAATCTATTCTATTTTCAGGGTCCTCCAGGGCCACCAGGTGTACCAGGACAGAAGGTAAGACTGGCACATAAGCACTTGGTTGACTGCGTTTATAAAACTACCATGGCAACTGTTTCCATAGTGTTAAAGCCCATCAGATATTTCAGGCACCATTCCTTCATGTGCACAACTCAAAAAATGATTTGGCAATGTGACATGTGTTTTGAGGTTTTAGGACTATGTTACAATAGTATGACCCAAGTGAAGGGACATGCCCCCTAAGGTGAAAGTTCAGCTATATTGCATATTTGCACCACATTGTCTCCCCTAGGTCTAATTTTTTTTTTTAATATGTTCCTGTTATTTGGCTATTCATGATTTTGCCATGTCTTTCTGGCTCACTCATATTTCAGATTGTGCTAGTTGAAATGGGTGGTCTGTACGCCAATGTAGCCCCAGTTTGTATTAAAGGGATAGAATATTTTTATGTTAAGACCTGCCCACCTTATAACTGTATCAGATAACATTATATGTTCTAAGCCTATTTATCATTTACAATTATCTACATCTGATACATCTATAATGTTTTCATTTTTTTCGACATGCAATGCAATAAAAGGGAAACATAAATAAATCAATCGAATAAATATATAATTTTGTGTTTCTCTCTACTTTATCAGGGTGAAATTGGATTGCCTGGTCCTCCTGGCCATGATGGGGACAAGGTAGGAAAGACAAGTCACCTTTTATCTTTTTTTATTTGTTAGTATGTTCACATTGGTAACAGCCAAACAAAACAAATACAACATTTTCAATTCCAAAGGTCACCATCAGGTTGCATCATAATGGCAAATGCCAGAAATAACAAATGCAAAAATAATGAAGATAATGTTTTAAAAAAAAAAAAAAGCTTGGTGGTTAGGATTGTAAGTACTTTTACATTTTGTAAAACCACCATTTCTTCACACAGTCCATAAGAACACTTGTTGAATTTGCACTGGAATTTTGTTAAATTTTACATTTCCTATAAATCTTCTTCTGCTTCCATTTTGATGTCACAAAGAAGACAACAGGTGGGTGAACATGTTACAAGGCACAGATTTATATTATATTGTGCATTTTATTCACTTGTGCCGTTGTCATTTTGTGGGAAAACTTGAGTATAATATATCTTGTTGTGGTTTTAGGGCCCTCGAGGGAAACCTGGTGAGTTTGGACCTCCAGGTCCCCAAGGACAGGATGGACTTCAAGGACCAAAGGGAGATACGGGATCTAGAGGATTACAAGGGCCAAAAGGAGATAAAGGAGATATAGGACAAACAGGATCACATGTAAGTCACATGTTAATAAAAACCCCAATGTATTTTGTACTTTAGTTAGACATGAAATATGCTTTGAAATGTAAAAAAAAAAAAAAAATCAAATGGTAACTAAAACACAAAGAACATAGAAATATGTAAAAGGCCAGTTCACCCAGAGCTGATATTTCAGTTTTCGATCGATGTTGAGTTATATTACTGAATGGCCTCCTCTGGCTTACAGGGATGCCATTGGAGAGAGTGGAGGGGATTCTATTGTTTCTGTTGTAATTTAATTTAGTATTATGTAAAATGATTTAATTTAACCTTATAGGAAATACAAAAGGGTGAGTAAGAACCACAAAGTACACCCCTGACCCAGCAGAAAGTTTGAAAATCAAATGATCAATTAATGGAGCCAAGAGTTTTGGTATAGAGACATTGGGGTTAATTTACTAAAGGCAAATAGACTGTTCACTTTGCAGTGGAGTTTGCACTTTGCAGGGAAAGTTTCCCTTTGCTTGCTAAATGTGATAAAATTTCACTTTGCTGAGAATACCCAATCATGTACAAGGAAAATTTAAAAAAAACAGTATTTTTGCTTGCACGTGATTGGGTGGTGGGAGTCAGCAGAGCTTTACCTTATTCACCAAACTAAGGGCAAACATCCCCTGCAAAGTGCAAATTCCCTTGCAATGTAAACAGCTTGTTTGCCTTTAGTAAAATAACCCCACTGATTTTGGGTTTCCAAAGAGGTTTAAAATCCAGCAAATTACTAATTATAATATTGTATAATTATCCTTTAGGCTACTCCCCAGAACAGCCTTGACCCGCAAAGTCTTATATTGAGAAAGTGAATGTTAGCTTTTTCTGCAATAACCAGATAGTATATGGGTAAATATACAACTGATAACAATTGTTGCTATGACAGAATTATCTAACATTGGTTTCTATGAATTATTAGTATGCACTGATGTGTTTAATTACTCCCTTTCTACTATGCCTGCATCAAAAACATGCTGAGTCTATAAAACACAAACATATATTGTATTTGCTGGCAGATCTGTCTTGGCTTTACATTTGACTTTGTGTTCACACACATATAAATATAGCAGCATTTGGGGTGTGGCTTGGCAATGGCCGTGTGACGAAGTGGACAGCTCCAGCTCTGGACACAGCATCTACATAACAGGCACCCTAGCCCACGTTCACGGCAACTCACCATATGTCCAAGAAGGGCAAGCAGAAGGGGCGCAAGTCGACCCCTAAATCGGCTTTCCACCGCCTGTTTGAAGGGACCTCTAGCCCGGATGATCGGAGGCCTCCATCGCGCCATCCTGCAGTATGGAAGGGGCCGCCTGACGCTACTCAGCAGCGGCCGGACTTAGCTCCTCCCACCCCGCTCCGAGAGACTCGTCACTCCAAGAGGCCCGAGGAGACAGAGCCCCGGTCTCCAGGGAGCAGTCAAGTGTCCCGGCAACGGGACCCGCAGATGCCCCCTCCCTCCGATCGGGACTCGGAGGGGAGAAGGCCTTCCCTGCACCGCTCTCCAGTATTAACTGGGCCGCCGGACGCCGCTCCACGTACGGCGGATTTGGCCCCTCCCACCCCGACTCTGGTGACACAGAGAGACGGGAGACCGGAGGAGAAGGAGCCCTGGCAGGCAGAGGACGAGGACTGGGCTCAACAGCAGCATATACAGCTGCCTCCATCCACAGCATGGGGGCTGGTCCCCCACAGGGCAGCTACGGCCATCTTCACCCACTACAGAGGTAGGTACTTATTTGCCCTGAACCTCCTTGGGGTTCTCTCCGGGCTACTTGCTGCCCCCTCAACCTTTATGCGGGAATTTGCGAGTGGGCCTGGGGAGACCCCTGGGGGGGATTCTCCTATGGGAAACTCAGGTCTAATGTACTCAGGTCATGCTCCTCTGAAATGTAGTATAACTCTTTTTATTTATCATCTGTGCTAGAGGCAGCGGTGGTGGATATACCCTCTCTTACACACTAGCTTGCTTGTACTGCCCTCTCTTCCTCTCGCCTATAAACCTCCCCCCTCTTCCCTCCTCTGTCCTGCTGTTGTCTGATGTCCTCCCCTCCCCTCAATCCACGGAAGCTAACAGGTGGACCCCTTGGTTCACACACTATTGTCTACCAAAATTATTGCCTATTACACACTAAGACATGTCTGATGTACACTGCAATTACCCCAAACGCCCAGACGCTGCATATGTTATTAGGCTGCTTCCACTGGATCCTTGACTAATTAAGCGGCTAGAGATAGGAGAAATAGACATGCTTCCTACGTTTGTACCTGTACGATATCATTTATCGACTGTATATGTGTTATTTTTTTACTGTAAAATGTTTGCTCAAAAATAAAGAATTAAAAAAAAAAAAATATATAGCAGCATTTAAGACTTATACCTAGACTTGGGTACCCTAGTCATTTACAGCTTAGATTTTGTCATACTATATATCTGTTTTGTGAAATAAGTACATACTGGTGTTCTACTTGTTTGTCTAAATATTGTCCTACATATTTTTTTTTTTGCTAGGGTCTCGATGGCCCCACTGGAGAAAAGGGAGATCATGGCGACCAAGGAGTTCCAGGACCCCCAGGTCTACCTGGCCCAATTGGACTTCCAGGGCTTACAGTAAGAATATGAACTGAATTATATACTGAATATGAATTTTAATACTTGTGTACAAATATAGTTAGCTAATTTCTTTGCTTAAAGCGAACCTCTAGGTCTGGTAGGAATTTTAGGGGGGACCCTAACCCCAAAATAAAATAAAAAAAGCGTGGGGTTCTCCCCAAAATCTCTTACCATTCCTTTAATCCCAGCAGCATTCTAGCAGAGCAGGAAAGGGGGGACAATCATGTGCTCCCCTCTCCTGCACCATACAAGGCCACATTGCCCCCAACATGGAGATGGTGCTTCGCCAGGGTGGACCCCCTGGCAAAGCACCTTGTCCCCATGTTGATGAGAACAAGGGCCAACTATTGGGCCAGGGTTGTGGGGGTCTGTGGGCAGTTTGCTTATCTGAATCAGATGCTGCCGCCCCCCCCTTGTGAATGAGTAAGGGGTAGTTTTACCTCTACTCATTTACCAAATACATTAGTAAAATAGTAAATAAACAATCCGTACCGGTTTGTAAAGTCCTTTATTAGTAAATAAACACAGCACACAATTTTTGATAAGTTCTTTATTAAAAATAGTTTAATAATTGTTAGTTCCATAATTGTCCATCTACAGACTTTCGTTAAACCTAATATCATCTATAAACACATGTCCTAGATGTTCCAAAGAAATTATAATGGTCTTTATATGTCAAAGGATTTCTTCATTAAGCCAATAAAAGACTGGCTTTTTCCCATTCTACAGGTGTTCTCCAATCATCTTTTAGAGACCAGTTTGTTCCTTTTGGCTGGATTATTTTTTTCACTTGGTTTAAGGGCTTGTTTACACGACGTCCGGATTGTGTCCGGACCAGAACCAAAATGCATTGCAATGTATCCCTATGTGTTTTCTGGGCTACAGTTCTCACGTGTGCGGTCTGTTCCGGTCCGGACAGAGAAAATACTGCATGTCACATTTTGTCCGGAAACACACAAACGCGTCAAAAACAAAATGAATCCGTGCCGAAAACGCACCGCACTGCAGTTAACATACTGACAGCCCCACTCCACAAAAACTATTTTTTTTTTCTTTAACTGGAACCTGGTAAAACGCATAAAAAAATGCATAAAAAATGCGCTGCTTGCATAGCACCGCATCTGCAGATCTGCTCCAAATCCGGACCAGATCTGGTCCGGACATCGTGTAAACAAGCCCTTAGGTAGAGTCACTTTAGGTATTTAAAAAATTATAATTACTTTTTACCTTCCCTCCTGTTCTTCTGGCAGATAACTACCATTCATAATATGTTTAAAGAGGAACTTCAGCCAGTAGATACCCCCCCCCCCCCTCCACTGCAACGGTTAAGTGTTAATTTTTTCTAGGGTGAAATGAACATTTTATTAGGTAACAAAATGTAAAAAAAATGTTTATCATGATTTGCATCATTAGATCATCACATAGTCAGATCTCTGATGGGGAATCTCTCTCCTGAAATTAATTTTCTAATGGATTTGAGAATGTTTACATAATGCTGTTCAGGACGAAAAAAATTGTTTTTGTGAATCCGAATTTTGCTTTCAGTTTCTAAACTGAACCTGAAAAATGGCCATACACAGACACATTTTCCTTTTTTCCAGTTTTTTTAATCAGCATTTTTGTGGTTGTTAAGTTTATATTTGCCTTTATCTCTGACAATTCCAACTGATGTTTTACTGATGTATTGCCTCTAGGGAGAGAAGGGTGATTCTGGAGACAAAGGAGAATCTGGGAACTCTGTAAGTATTTTTTTTAAATTGTCTAATGTTTGCCTATTTTAAAGAGACCCTGTCACCAACTTAAATATTTACAGATAAAAGCAAAGAAAAATTAAGTATATTAAATGCTTACTTGCAGCATTTTTCTCTTTTATTAACATTTGTGTTTTTTTGTGCTTGAAATGTGTTTGGGAATTAGCAATCCAGAATGTCTTTTCCCTAGCACAGCCCACTCTCTCCTTGCATATCATAGCCCTCCTCTTCTGGGGGTATCTCATTACTGTCTGTGCTGCTCCAGCTCCTCTTCCCCATTACTTACCTCCCCACATGGCTTTTTAAGTAGCTGCTGGGGGAGGAGCGATGGGGAATACTATGGAGTGCCCTTTAGTGACAGCCCTGAGTCTGCTGGAACTGCTGACATTAGATCCAAGATAGCAGCACCTAGCATTTGTCTCAGGGCTTTTGGATGTCTACACAAGGTTCTACAGGTAAGTTACATGTAAAATACATTAAATGTACATAACATTTTATGGAAAGATTGTTGTGGTAGTGAATTATTTCTCTACAGGGTCTTTTTAATAGTAACCTGCTTTTGATTAATAACAGTAATTAGATTTGTCAATTACAATGTTAATGTTCCAAATAATCCACATCATTGCATCTCCACAAATAGTAAACCAGAAAAGTGCTGTATACTGCAACGACAAAAAGAAAAAGAGAGAAGTGCACTAGCTATCACTTTTATTAGTAATAAATAATTAAAAGGAATGACGCAAACAATGTGTGGTCACAGGAGGTTGTCATCACCGGGGCATATTCCAAGGCTCCCTCATTATTAGCCTGTGGTGATGAGTAATCCAAAGAGAAACCCAGGCAGCATTGTCCTGCAAACAAAACTTAATATCCTAATAAAGAGTGCAAAGACATAACGTTGCTGACTGTGACATGTACTTAGAATTCACACTTCAAACACTGCACAGGTTTTCATTAAAATAATGCCTGATGATCCTGCCATGAAGGTTCCTTTTCAAGAACTTCCTGTTATAGGGTGTAAACTATGTGTTCCGGTTTTCCATTTGTGCTCCTACATTGTCACTCTGCAACACTAGCTTCTGATACAGTCTGCAAGAGGCCATTTTAGCACACATTACGCAATCAAGGTCTACTGTTGTCACCGTCAGGAAACCTGCACTCAGCAACAAAAGATACAAAAAGTTAAAGCAAATATTTTTTTTAAAAGAACAGCATTGCAATTATTTATTATACAGTTTTTTTTAGAAGACTTAATTTTATTTAGATAGGGTTTACATCTACTTTTATAGTGCTGTTGTAGCTCACCCCCTAAGGAGCCACAGAGGAAAAGTGGGTCATCCATTATACCCATGTCTAGGGGATCTAACTGCCCATTAACACTTACCCCCTCCAAGGTGAACAAAAAAAGCGAGGTCCAGACTGTACATATGATGCTGAGGAACTTATTTAAAGAACTTAATGGAGAGAGGTTGAGAGTCAGGATCATCCAGGATTGTGTATACTCATTTAAGTGGTAGGGCACAGTATCTGCTGCCATCACAGACTAGGACCTTTAAGCCAGACATGGCAATCTGGGTGTAGAATACCTGGCAAAGCAGCACTTGAATCAGAAATCATTAGTTATCTTCATCCTTGGTATCAGTAGTAGCCCCCAGACTCAGGCCTAAGTCCAAGCACAAAGCTAGTCCCCAGGCTTCAGGCCTAGCCATATCAGACAGTCCATAGCAGCCTCCCCCCAGCCAGGGCCCGGGGAGGAAGAAATTGCTCACATGGTCCACCCCAAGTATTTATCCCCTCTCCCAGCATGCACCACGGGCCATCAACCTCCTAGTGACTGGCTAGGGATATATGCATACTCATAGCAATCGCTCATTGGTGGCTCTGCCCTATGGCCAGGGTACACACAGACCCCTATTTCTTTGACACTGAAAATATATTCTATAAAATCCTTCACAATAAAAGGATGACATAATAAGATAATATATCTACCAGTATTTCCATGCCTCTAAATAGATAACAATATAAAATCAGGATCACTCCCCATGTAGTTAACGCATACTTAAATAAGAACTGAAGCCAACATTTATTTCGGTTTTGGACAGGGTAAGGAAGGGTAATAACCCCTGTCAGCTTTTTGTGCCATCTGTTACCCATTAGGAAGATTTCCCATCACTTCCACAACGTAACCTCAACAGGAAATGAGAGTAAATCCCTCCAAAGTGTGAGAAATCCCTAGTGGTCAGCAGGTTCACAAGTACAAGTGTCCCCATTGGAAGACAGGTGTTCTAATGCCTCTCCATTCTATCCAGAACAAACAAAATGGTTTTGTCTTCAATTACATGTTAAACAATTCAGCATTTTGCAATGCCACTCTTGCTTTCAACAAGCCTTCCTCTGCTCAGTTTCACATTAAGTGTTAATCTCTTGGAATACTTCTGTTGTAACACTTTGCTGTGATTCTGGTCACATTAACCCCTTCGTGACGGGAGACGTACAGTGTACGTCCTGTCACTTTGTGCCTATATGACTGGCCACGTACACTGTACGTGACGAGTTATATCAGGCTTTGTAATGCCGGTATTTGCTGATTCTCAGCATTTAACAGTCATTCATTAATGTCTCAGTATTGAGGCATTAATTAATGAAATAATTAAGCTTTTTGTAAAAGCTTCTTCCTTTCATTAATGAAAGAATGAAGCCGTTACATGCAAATAGAGGACAGCAATTTGCGATCCCGTATTTGACAGCTCAAAATAGCAGAGAGGCAGCAGTGACTCACCTCACCTCTCTGCTATTTGTTTTGACAGCTCGAGAGCCCGATGTTTGGATACATTTCACCAAAGAGATACAATGTATATCTTTTGAGTGAAATGTATCAGTTATCGTCTAGGCACGATCAAAGAGCTTTTAGTGAGATCTGAATCTGACTAAAGTCAGGATCAGTCTCTAAGGTTATTATTAGCTGTTCCTAAGTTTGGATCAGCCTAATAGCCAAAAATAAAATAAAAAAGTTAATTTATCAAGCTGTCATAGTGATTGCTTGATATAAACTGACAAGAAAAAAAAAAGTTTTTTTATTTTATTTTTATTTTTTTTACAAAGTGTAAAAAAATTAAAATAAAGTGTAAAACAAAATTAGGAAAATATAAATTATATATAAATATATTTTTTATACTATAATTAATATAAAAAAATTCTAAAAAAAAAAATAATAATCAAAACTTGTGAAAAAAGTGTTTTCTTCTAGTTTTTTTCCTCATTTTTTTTATTTTATTCAAACTAAGTGAGGGGTTAGGTACACATATGTGATATAATTATATAGCCCTATCTGTCCTCTAAAAAACAATATATAATATGTGTGGGTACATTTAGTAAGAAAGTATATTACTGCTTTGGAAGAATCACACAGCAAAAATGTAAAAAATGTGTCAGTCATTTATGAACAGAACCTGAAAACTAGCTCAGTCATGAAGGGGTTAAACCACTCATGGCTGATTGCTTCATATCTACTCCTATAGATATGTAGGAAATTATTGACATGTAAAGATCTACACAAGGTTTTTATGAATTTAATTTTAAGTTGCACTGATAAAATTACAGTATTCCTCATTGAGGTGTACCATAAATATCTTTGTTCTATTTTACTATTTTACTATTTTAGGTTTCTGGGCCCCCAGGACTTCCTGGTGTTCCTGGGCCTGTGGTAAGTTTTGCACGCAGTTGTTGTAATAGACCTTCTATTTTGCAAGTTTATATTGTATGTATCTTAAAAGTAGGGATGCACCAATACCATTTTTTCGGTATCGATTACGATTACCGATATTTATCTTTCGGTACTCGCCGATACCGAGTATCGATATCAGTGCTTCCGTTGGCATGGAGCCAGCTTTAGTGCTTTCTTGCCCAGGAAGCCGTCTCAATGCTGATTGGCTGGGAAGCCAGCTTCCTGGCCAATCAGCATCGAGCTGGCCAAACAGCATTCATTAAGCCTGGAGGCAGGTCATTACTGATTGGCCGGAAAGCTGCCTTCATGTTTCCTCATGGCACTGCAGGTCAGAGGAAATCTCTCTCTGTCCGGAAGTTCCAGTATCGGGGGTAAGTATGAGCATTTGGGCGAGTATTCGTTATCTCAGTATCAGCACCGATACGGATACTAGTATCGGTATTGATGCATCCCTACTTAAAAGTTAAATGGGTCAATTGTATGCTATATTTTATAAACCTATGATATATACAGTATATACTGTATATATTAAGCTCCTTTTAGCAAAACAAAAGTATGTGAAAAGCAGACTAGAGTTCCACTTACTGGCTGGAAATATACATGCTACGGATAAATACATAATATTAATATGTAGTATTTCATACCTAGCTAATAACATTTTTTAATTGTTTTTGTTCTGTTCTGAATAAATGTGTCAGCCAACCCTTCCTCTGATCCTCCCCTTTAACAGAGATAACTTGACTGAGTACTTAGGCCTTTGAACACATGGACAGCACTAAAGGAAACCGTCTCCGTGACTTTATCCACAACTAAAAAAAATAAAAATAAAAATTGCATATCACTTTATGTTTATAATGCAGTACCTAGCTGGGCCAAATAAAGAAACATTTTTCAAAATGTGGGATTTGTTTTAACAGTTCTGTTATAATAGTGCCAGCTCTTGGCTAAACATCACTATGATTTCTATCCTTGTACTTTCTTTTATTTTAATTAGGGTGTGTTAGTTATAGTCTTTGTGACAAACTGCTGAAATTCTTAAGATTCTTCTATACTAAATTCTTAAAATGATATTATTCCACTGATATCCAACAGTCTTGTCTTGTTACACCTTAAAGTTTAGATGAATTTACAGATTTAATATTATTTTAAAACAGCTAGCATGTCCCAGAAGGCTTAGAGAATAAATGAACAGAATGGGTAAACATACTAGGATACATAAACCAACTTAGGTGATCACAGCTGCTTTAGCTGCATTATGGAGACTAGACCTCAGAAACAATAAAGTTAATTAGACTATATTAAATATTAAGTACAATTTGTGAGTAAAGTTGATGCCATCCAACATAACCCACATTGCTGTATACCTAATTTTTGAATAATGCAATTCTTCAGCCTCTGCTACCCTCTGCTGGAATCTCACTGCTATTGCCAAAGAATTCCTAATTCTTTATTTTTTCATTTTATTATCTCTCCACTAGTCACTGTGTTTTATTCAGCTGTGCAGAAAGTATGAACAAGCCTTTCTTGGTACTTTCTATAAGAAAAGTAAATGTGTGTTACAAACAATGGATGTGAATGCAGATTGGGTATAAGGAATAAGTAAATTTTGTAATGGGGTTCCAGTCCCCTGCCAGTGGCTATATATTGCATACTTTGTTATTTGGGATTTAAACTGCAAATGTTCTGTGTGGACACCAACCATATGCTGCTGCATTCAAACCACCAACATATTTCATTATGTAAGTGTACATGATTTTATGTAATGACTTTCTGCTTTTTCTTCAAAGGGTCCACCTGGAATTCCTGGCCAAAAGGTAATTGCCAAATATGTCCAGATGTGCTGTAATCTGGTATAGTAGTAGTTATCCATGCATGCAACCGCATACATTAACATATTTTAATCTGTTCTATTTAATATACAAAATAGATTTGCTGTTGTAGCGAGGTGTGCTGTGTGAACATCTTGACATGCAGTCTTGTTCAGATGTCAGGTGCCAGGCAATGGGCATCTGTAATCTACAGCAACCTTTAGTCAGCCAAAAACTCTATCAATTATAAATGTTCCAGCAATCAACCTCAAACCGGGGTGATAAAAAATACTGAATTATGTATAAATTAATACACTATTTGATTGCAGTTCCTGATTGTATCCTCTAATAGAAATTATTTTAAAAATATCATATAGTAGCCTTACAAAAGTATAACAAATGGAGTGACGGAAGACTGCTTCTGTATTAGGGCTGGCTTCACACCTATGTTTTTTGCACGTTACTGCAACTCACAGCACTTTGTGCAGTGAGTTAAGGTGCAAGGAAATAAGGTGAGTAGTTGTACTTATTCCTTCCTCGCCATTAACCAAAAGGGCATTTGACCCATTTGACATTTAAAAGCAGCCTGGAGTTTGGCTTTAATGCACAAAATACCACTCTTTAACACACATGTACAACAACAGATTAATATAGGGTGAAGAGGCCCTAAACTCATGTTGTTTCATGATGTTTCCAGAGATTGATACCTGGAAACACAAGAGAATCCAAAAAGCAGACACCCATTATATTTTGCTTTTAAACATTTCTAACTTATGACAAACTACCTCGTGGCAGGGAAGCCTTTTGTCGGGACATCTGGCATGGATGAACTGCTGAGTTTAAAACAACTCTGTCATGATTCGGATTTGTTTATTATGATAGATATGATAAATAATTATTATCTAAGTAATCTAGAATTTGGATGTTTTTTAGGAGTGACTATATGGCCCCTTTCACCATGGTTCTGTCTTTGTCTCATTCCAATACAATGTGTCTGTTTTCAACAGGGTGAAGTAGGAGAGACTGGTGCAAAAGGGGAGAAGGGAAGTCAGGGAGAAAAAGGAGATAAAGGTCCTTTGGGTTTACCAGTAAGTAGATGTGGCACCAATTTTATTGAACTAGCCATTATATTACTCAAAGTGTTAGAATATGCTAGTCGTTTTAGATGGTGATCTTTGTGGTGTGCTATTACAAACTAAGCACCCTGAATTTGTAACTGTAATGCGCAAGACCAGTACCATCTACACACCATCTCTCCTTATTTTTCCAGCTTACTCATATTTCATTTTTGGCTGAATGCTGGATTATTCAACCAGCTAAAAATGTTTGATATCCTCCAGGAACTCTATTTGTGACATTTCTGCACTTAAGCTCCTGGTTGTTGAGAGCTTCTAAAGCTTCTGATTTTATTCATTTTTATTATGGAGAATGCAACAGTAGGTGCTAGAGCACAGCACTATGGCTAGGAACACTCAGGAACCCAAGGTGAAGGAACAGAGTTGAAAATTATGACAAGGAGATCTCGTTGCTAAAGTATGCAAGACATACAAGAAGCCAGGAGCTATGTTACCCCACTAGGCTTCACCTATGACTAAAATATCGAAATGGAGAGGAATTGTCCTGCATTTAGTCGTTTAAACTGGTGCAAAGGTAGTCACCAACTTCCTGTTGTGCCTCAAATGTGCATCTATGACTACTACAACAATTGTTGAGTGCAAGACTCTACAATTGCTGCATCTCTTCCTGCCCTCTCTTGTCCTTCTTCTGCATACTGTTGTAAAGTAATAAAAAAAACGTACGATCTGCCTATCTTGGACAGGCAGATCGTACTTGCGATCATCGCTGAGGGGCGGGCTTCCGATGACCGCAATGCTGAACTGGCAGTGTGCGCGTGATTTTCGTCTGGTTTTCGAACATGCTCCTTAGCCAAAAGACGTGCAACTGTACAGTAAAAACGGTTGCACGCCTGCCATACACTTTGCGATTATCGCACGATCGTGGGATTTCCCACGATTATCATGCGATAATCGCACAGTGTATGGGCACCTTTAAAGTACATCTAAAAAAAGTAATGTATTGCATCTTACCAGTCCTTTGATGTGTTGGCAGCATCAGTTTTCCTTGTTAAGACTAAGTACATTACTACTAGTACAGAAAAATGCATATTGATCCTGTCAGAAATCAAGTGTTCTTGCGACTTCCTGTGGACTAAACTCAAATCGCAAACAATGGTATCAGCTTTAAGAGCTATCCTCAGGGAGCTACAAAGCAATGCTCCTCTATGTATTGTAGATAAGGATAGGAGGAAGTGGGGTTTGTAGTCCAAATCAAGAGAGCAGTCTAGGGTGACAGTGCTACTCCTCCATAGATTCAGTGCAGTGAGTGAGCATGGTAACCCTAGGATAGGAAGTGTGTTATTGGCAGGATCACCAGGTGAAAATATAGGAAAAAAACCTGAACAAAGTACACTAATGGAGCCACCACATCTAAAGACTGGTAAGCTGCAACAAATACAATTTTTCTTTTCAGGTTTACATACACTTTAATAAGCGCACAAATAGTGAACATGAATCACCTAGAGGAGATACATGTCACTGCACATCTACTCTCATCGCTTCTTGAATGCAAAAGAGGACAAAGATTTAGGCCATGGGATCCAATCAGCTATTTCAGGATTAAACAGAATACATTAATTGCATTTACTGATTTTGATCTGATTTTGTGTGACTCTACCCAACTAATGAAAAGCATGTTTTATATAGTGCCGTGGTCTAACTCTTAATTTTATACAACCATTGAATGATATGCCGTATGCACAAATTTTTATTTGCTTGATAATGAAAGTTTTTAGAACAATTTATTGATTTACCTTTGATCTAAATGGTTATCCAACACGTCAGGTATTCAAATATTGAAGGTTTTGTTTTTCAGTTTCAGGTTTCCAACATTAAAATAATAAAAGTGCTGCAGTGGTTGGATTTGATAACTATATTTAGGTTTAAAGCTGCTTATTTTTCCATTTTAATATGGTATTAGGCTAAATTTACTAAGCTATAATGCATGTGCTGTCTCTAGCCATATTACTGTTATTTTAAGCTCTCATTGCTAGAAAAAATAATGGTTGTTATAGCTTAGTGAATTGAGCCTATTGCATTTTATTCTTGAAGTGTGTAAAATACCTGCAGGTTATTGGGAAGCCTCAAGAATTGTGAAAATCCTTATTTGTATGCAGATTTTTTTGTTACATCCAGCAATAATTGGAAATTCATCATATAATAGGATATAGCTTCTATACTGAGATGTGTTCTTCTTTCATTTGTGCTGGGTCATGTGTTTGTGCTTATTCTATGGATTTAATAAGTCAGGTCTGAACATGTATTATGTTGAACTTCATGGCACTCTGAATAAGTGAATAGGCTTACTGGAGTGATAGCTGTCAAATAAGATATATTTTGGTACCAGTAGAAATACCTGTTATTTGCTATTTGTAATTTAATGACATTCTAAAATCCGAAAGCTGAGCCCAAATAAAGGCAAGCAGAGGGCAAACGACTAGTCTCCAGTATTGCCTGAGGTCTCCCTGCAGCTGATCTCTTTTCTATCCTGACTAACCATGTCTTTTTTGAAACTGCAGGGTTCATTTACTAAAGGCAAATAGGATGTTCACTTTACAAGGGAATTTTCTCCACACTCACAAAACTAAGTGAAAATTTCCTTGCAAAGTGAACCTCCTATTTGTCTTTAGTAAATCAACCATTGTGTTGTGTCTGTGTAGAGGCGTCCATCTTGTTGTGTCTGTGCAGGGCTTTGCTACTTTATGTTATGTTATGAGTTCCCAGCTAGATGAACAATGAGTAGCACTGTAGTGACATCACCAAATCTTACTTCAAATCTACTGAGTCTAGTAATCAGAGGCAGCTGTGTCTCAGATCCACACCGATATAAAGCTACGAGGCTGTAGGTACAGGAGTGCCTAGGCACCCTCAGATACAGGGAAGTACACTAATATTTTTTAGGAGGGTTCAAAACAAAATGTACTTTTTAGGGTACTACCTAGGCACAATTAACATTTCTAGATGTTCCTTATACCATAGCAAGTCTTCAGTTTTTAGGTTTAGTTCCACTTTGTATGTTTCGTTTTACTGAGACTGTGTTTGTCCAATTTACTGTATACACTGTGATTTAATAGCAGATGCTGTATAGCAGTACTGAACACAACTATCACGACATATCGAACGAATGTTTGTAATTGCTATATAAGCCAGCTCCTTTAAAATTCTTCATCATTTCAAAAATTAGTATTTGTATAACAAGAATATGTATATGTTTTTCTATAGCTGTTAATACTGTTGACACATTTTAAAGTAAAAAAAAAAGGTATTTTTGGTGATTTTGTAATAAATAATAAATCCATAAATGGATGAAATGGAGACTTTTGATATCATGCTGAAGTTTAGCTTTAAGAGAAATCAAGTTCACAAGGCTCACCATAGCATGACAGATTTTATTTCTTATTTATTTTAAGTAGAAACAGCAAAACTATCATCTACTGTTCATAATGTGTTTCTGTCCAGTTGACAAACTTTTTTTCTTAAATGAATCTTTAAATCTGTATGAAACATTGATCTACTACTTGTAGAAATGCTTTGTGAATTAACAGAGATGGTTGTTACTAATGTATTAATATGTGAGCTATGCATAAAACAAAGAGGCAGTGGGTTTCCTTCTACCAATGGCAATGTTAGGTTGTAACATGTCATCAAGTTACTGTGTCAACGTGCCATAACAACACCTCCCCTTGTACCGATTCTCATGTGTTGTCAGTGCTGATTCTGATCGAAGGGGAATTAAAGTGTATGTATGTATTCAGTTGCTGCTTCACTCACCTCTCCCCTCCCTCATTGTTTTCCCCTTCCATTTTCCTGCCCCCTCCATGTGTATTGACACTCTGGCCTGCTGTTCAGGGTGCTTCAGGTTTAGACGGCAGAATTGGTCCACCGGTGAGTCTTAACTCCATAACACTAACCTACATGTTTCCTGTTACCTTGCCTTGCCCCATCTGCTCCTAACTGCAACCTGTCCGCTACTAAATAACTCCAGCATCCGATTAGCAGCATTATACCCAATGCTAATTTACATTGAATTCTTATGACAGTTTCTTAGCCTTTTTTATTTTGTAGAATAAATCTTTAAGCAATGAAACATACATACCAAATACATAACTGTCATGTACTTGCAATATGAGAATTGTATGCATCCAGCTAAAAGCATCAGTTCTGTTTTACAATCATATTAAAATGTGATTATGTAACTTATGACTGTGATCATACATATATGCACAGAAATGCTGACATTGTATAATGACTGTGCACTGTAAGAAAGGTTTTTTTTATTTGTTTATATGGTCCTGAATCCCTGGATATGTACTGAAGAGAGCAGCAAGGGGATTAAACATTAAAAAGCCAAGGTTTAGGTATCTCTGGAAATCCTGCCAAGTCTTATCAAGCTTTAGTTCATATTTTTCAAGGTGGAGTTTGGTTTATTTTCATCTTGTGCACACAAAATGATTTAGGTCAACCAAACAAAAGTTGTGTCCTGTCTGAGCAGGTTAACAAGTCATAGGCAGCATCTAAAGCATTTATCACTGACAGGTTTACTAACAGGGTAAAAAATCTCTGCAACCAATAAGGATAATTCCCTTTTTGCCCTATTGGATAGAGAGTGATCCTTTCGCCTTGCTCAATCTCCAGTCAAGTGCAATTTAAACTTCCTGTCTGGTGGGCCTGCAATCACAAGCAGGATTGCTCTCTTACTAAGAATAGGTTATGGATGGCCTGCATAACCTTGTGCGCACACCTCTAAATAAAACAAATAATATAAAGTTATAGAGCTGCTGAAAACTATTCCATAAACTATTAAGGTTATAAAAATCCTATTTAACTATTTAGCTGTAGTACATCCTTTAAACATGGACCATCCTCACTACTCCAGTTTGCTGACACATTAAGCATTGTTCAGCTTCCTAAGATTATAGGGGATCTGTGGGGATCATATCATAGGTTAGAGATGTCTAGTATCAACCCGTGGCCATTATTTAGGAAGTAAGAGGCTTCTCCCTTTCTGATAAAAATGGAAATATTTTTCATTTAAGCATGGAGGGGAAAAGGTATCTTACATATCAATACCTGTCCAGCACTTTTATTTTTAGATTAATTAAAAGTTTGATTTTCCATCATGATGGAGAAAAATATTTATTTTATTTAAACTATATCTGAAGGAAGTATTTGATTCCTGCTTTACAAACAATTCCCATATATTTAAATGAGAGGCACAGTGCTTTCTGACCAGAAAAGCGTGCTTTCTTTATTACAAATCCTTTCTGCATCTAGTTGTAACTTAGCATTCTCCTTCTTTGCTTTACGGTCCTGTTAAATTGTCACTTTATAAAGGCTAAGAAAGTTCATCATGGAAGTTAATAGCACATAAACTACCTGAAGAGGTATTATATTACCCTAATGTACCGTTGGTACAGTAAGGATGTGAAATGTGGTAGATCAACTAGAGGGCATCCATTGAGAGGAATTAAAACAGCGGATATATGTTTTATTATTAAATACCAATCTCGCCAGTCATCATCTCATAACCCTGTACCAAAGTTCAGAACTGTAAGCGTATTGAATAATTTGCTTGTTCAAGCCAACAGTGAAGACACATGATGAATTCAGTGTTGGGAGATCCCATATAAAACCTTGCACTACAACTTCCAGTATAAATGTAAGAAGCATAACTATTGTATTTGTGTACTGCTAGTGTTTCTACCCTACGGTGGTTATGGAATATATGGCCTGGCCTTCTGATCTCTTTAAATGCATCTATTTCTGCAGCATGGTGATTTACAAATTGCATGCTAAGCTACTTTCTTGAAATGATGCAAGTCCTTTTTTCCTTTTAATCGAATGTATTTGCAATGGTTACAATGCTTAAAAATGTGACTAAACCAGTATGTCTTCATGAAGTTACCCTTTTCAGCTGTGAGTTGATGACCATTTATTGAATGCATTGACTTCAGCTTTAAAATAGAATCTTGGAGTTTTACTCATTTGTTACTTATCCATACATCCTCACAGTGTTTTGAAGATCTGGTTAGACTCAAAGCTGAAAGCTGTAACAAGCCAAAGATAACTATACTGCCTGCACAAATGGTCTTCTTTCTACTTGCTTATTTCCTAAATGTCAAATGCATAAAGCAGGACAGCTATTCTGAAAATAATATCCTTGTTTATTTATACATTAGGGGACCCCTGGACCAATAGGAGTTCCAGGACCAGCAGGACCAAAAGGGGAGAGAGTAAGTAGAGGTCATAGTCTTTTACAAATCATTGCCTTGTTTATTTTACCTCTGAAGTTCTAAAATGCATTTTTTTTTATATTGAAGGGCAATAAAGGAGATCCTGGTGTACCGGGACCAACTGGACCAGCAGGGCCACCTGTAAGTATACCAAAACAGTAATCAGTTTAATAGAGTGTAGGGCTGAAAAGTTGCTTGGTGTTTTTCCTCTCTTGAAGTGTATCTGAAGCCAAAACTTTCTAGTTTTGAATAGAGTACTGAATGGTTACAACAGTGTTTTCTTTTGCTGTCTTTGTCTGGGGAAAATGTTTCTTTTTTCAAGAGAGAAAACAGGATATGAGGGCAAATACTCCAGAACACCTACTGTAAAACCTTGGATTTCCTGTCGCTCATTGTTGCAGTAACAGTGGTCACCACTGAGGGTAAATCTATCCAGTACGGACACACACAGCAATAAAAAGCTGAAAGAGGTTTTAACCCTTTTTTTTGGATTATAGTGCAAATACATTTTTTTTAAATTTACAATGCATCTTTCACCCTTTATTTTAAAGTGCAAGTTGAAGTTTCTGCTTTGGAGTTTGGCATAATCCTTTGGATTCATATGAAGGATATGCAGCTCCTAATATATAGGGTGAAAACAGACTTTTGCTGTGCATTGAAGTGCAACAATGCAATGCAGATTCAACCTAGATGCTTTCCAGCTCACTGCAGCGCTCAGTAAAGCATTACCGTGAGTTGTGGTGTGCCGCATTGCCAAGAATTTGGTGTGTTGCCTGCCCATACAGTTATATGGGTAGGCTTAATACAACACACATTAATGCATGAAAAAAAGCACATGTTAATGCACGTGCATAAGTACAACACACCGGGATGCCAAGGTGTGAATGGGCCCTAATGCATTCTTTACTAAAAGGAAAATTATTTTTATTATTATAATAATATTATTATTATATAGGATTTATATAGCACCAACAGTTTGTACAGCACTTTACAAAATTGAGGGAGACAATACAATTAACAATACAATTTCAGTACTGGAGGTAGGAGGGCCCTGCTTGTGAGAGCTTACAGTCTATTAGAAGGGGCAAGTGATACAAAAGGTAATAATTGTGTGGGATGATTTAATAAAACAATTGAAAGTACTGTTATATTGGGGTGGAACAGACCTCCCTGAAGAGATGAGCTTTCAAGGATCGCCTAAAGGTGGACAGAGTAGGCGATAAGCGTACGGATTGGGGTAGGGAGTTCCAGAGAATGGGACACACTCTGGAAAAGTGCTGTAGGCGAGTATGTGAGAAGGTGACAAGAGAGCTGGAGATCTTGGGAAGAGCGAAGGGGACGGTTTGGGTGATATTATGGGATTAAGTGGGTGATGTAGCTTGGGTCAGATTTGTAGATGGCTTTGTATGTTATTGTTTGTATTTATACGCTGGGGAAATGGGAGCCAGTGGAGCGATTGGCAAAAGGGGGTGGTGGACACTGATCTGTTGGTAAGGTGGATGAGTCTGGCAGCAGCATTCATAATGGACTGAAAGGGGGATAGCCTGCTTAGTGGTAGGCCAACAAGGAGGGAGTTGCAGTAGCCAAGGCGAGATATTACAAGGGAGTGAATTAGAAGCTTTGCGGTTTCATTTTTTAAGAAGGGAGGAATTTTGGAATGTTATGGAGGTTGAGTCGGCAAGATTTGGATAGTGATTGGATGTTGGGCTGAAAGGAGAGCTCAGAGTCAAGGATTACTCTGAGCACCCTGGCTTGACGCGAGGGGCTGATTGTAGTGCTGTTGATTGTGATAGAGAAGTCAGGGGAGAGGACATGGAGAGGAGGCAATATTATAAGCTCAGTTTTGGACAGATTTAGTTTGAGGAAGTGGTGTGACATCCATGTTGATAAGTCAGTGAGTAGTTTAGTGATGCGTGAAAATTCTTCTTAGATTGGTTTAAAAGGAGATTAATGTATTGTACATACGCTTCACTGATCCTGCACTTAAAAGTTCCATCATGTTAGCCTGTTCCACTCTGTCACTGGTTGTTTTAGTCTTTCTCATAGATTTCTGTAAGCCTGGCACCTAGTGGAGGAAATGAAGGTAAAGTTTGATAGCAATTAGGCTCGGGACTTTCCAGTGACCTACTGGGGCTAGAGCAATAACAGGGAATTAGTGACCTTCTCTCGCTCCGTTGAACCATGAATGGCGTTAGGCACATGCAAATCATAATAAAACAAAACAAAATTAAACAGAAATTAAGCTAAAATTAAGATTTTCACATGAGACAGGGAACACATGCCACCTATTCAGTAGTTTAGTTCTCTTATTTAGACATTGCTGTAGTGTGCCCATGTACCTTTTATCAAAAATTTGCTAGTCTGGGAACCCCTTTTTGTTTACTTGTTTGTAACACAGGAGAGGTTGCCCCAAAATGATGTATGAATTTGTCAGTACTAAGAAATGTTTTTACACTCACAAAGCAGATTCAAAGATGCCCTGCAAGTTTGAATCTGATTAGTGATGCAACATGCAGATTGAGGAAGTTACAGTAAAGTAAGGATGTTCTCACATTCCATGTGAGGGGCTAACATACCTTTGCTTTAGATTAATAAATTCACATTATAGTAAATTAAGTGGACTCACTGACTTTAGCTGGATAGAATTACTAACTTACTGACTGAATTCACAAGTTACTTGGAATTGCTCCCTAACTTTGGCCATAGGTGGCAAGATAAAGCAAATGATTAGTTTATAGCTGAATTCCAGTAGGAAAGAGCAGAGTGAAAGAGAAATGAACCAATTCTTCTGCTTTTACTTATATATATGCCCAGTCACAGGCTGGGGGAGGGACAAGACCTGTTAGTATTACTTAACTGCATAAGAGAAAAATCATGTCTTATGTCTGTCCCACAAGAGAGGGCTGTGCTGTATACCAGAATTGTGTAAATGTCAGCACTTGTTCAACTGGTACAAAGAGAGATAGTCCCCCACTATGTGGTTCTCATTTCTCATGGAAATATCATATATATATA